CTAACTTGATTGAGTTTTTTGAAGAGGTGACAAAGAAGATTGATGAAAGCAGAGACGTAGATGTTGTCTATATGGACTTCAACAAAGTATTTGACAAGGTTCCGCTTAGTAGACTGATTAGTAAGGTTAGATCACATGGGATCCAGGGAGAGCTAGCCATTTGGATACAAAATTGACTTGAAGGTAGGAAACAGAGGGTGGTGTTAGAGGGTTGCTTTTCTGAATTGGAAGTCTGTGACCAGCAGTGTACCACAAGGATCGGTGCTGGGTTCGCTGTTTTTCATCATTTATATAAATGGTTTGAATGTGAATAAATCAGGTATGGGTAGTAAGTTTGCATGTAACACCAAAATAGGTGGTGTAGTGGATAGTGAAGAAGATTATCTTAGAGTACAATGGGTCCTTGATCAGATGGGCCGATGGGCCGAGGAGTGGCAGATGGAGTTTAATTTAAATAAATGTGAGGTAAACCAGGACAGGACTTATACAATTAACAGTAGGGCCCTGGGGAGTGTTGCTGAAGTAAAAGACCTGGGGATGCAGATGCATAGTTCCTTCAAAGTGGAGTCGCAGGTAGACAGGGTGGTGAAGAATGCATTTGGCACGCTTGTCTTCATTGGTCAGAACATTGAGTAAAGGAATTGGAAGGTCATGTTGAGATTGTACAGAATATTGGTTAGGCTACTTTTAGATGCGTACAACCTGTTTGCCCTTCTATAGGAAGGATGTTGCTAAACTTGAGAGGGTGCAGAAAAGATTTACCAGGATGTTGCTAGGACTGGAGAGTTTAAGTTATAGGGAGAGGCTGAATAGGCTGAGGCCTTATTCCCTGGAGCTTCAGAGGCTGAGGGGTGACCTTATAAAAGTTTATAAAAATATGAGAGGCATAAATAGGGTAAATAACCAAGGATTTTTTTTCCCTAGGGTGGGTGGGTCCAAAACTAGAGGATTAAGGTGAGAGGGGAAAGATTTAAAAGGGACCTAAGGGGTAGCTATTTCACGCTAAGGGTGGTGCATAAATGGAACAAGTTGCCAGAGGAAGTGGTGGAGGCTGCTACAATTACAACATTTAAAAGGCACCTGGATGGGTATCTGATTAGGAAGGGTTTAGAGGGATATGGGCCAAATGCTGGCAAATGGGACTAGTTCAGATTAGGATATCTGGTCGGCGTGGATGAGTTGTACCGAAGGGTCTGTTTCCATGCTGTATGACTCTATGATTCTAAATGGTCATCTTCTCTGCCATGATGATTCTGTGTTCTTTAAATCAACTTGCTATTGTAGGAATGTCTTGAATTATAATCTTATTTCACAAAGTGTGCACTTCTCTTCGAACCTTTGCTGTTACTACACTGGAGATTTAGCTTCCATAAAACAAGGGGAGACTGAACAACATGCCTCCCTTGAGCAGAAAAATGTCAGTAACAATAGTACCTTTAATGTGTGAGAAATGCAAGTCCTTTTCAGACTGAATGCCAATAAAGCTGCAGCAATAGATAGCAATTTTCCCAAATCATTAAATGTTTGATAGGAGATTCAAGGGGAAATTTTGTAGCTCAGCGGTAGTGTTTCTGCCCCTGTACTGGAAGGCCTTGATTCATGGCCCAGCTGCACCAGAGGTGTTTAATAACATCTCTGAACAGGTCATTTCAAAAAAGAGGCTAAATTGGGTTAAGTGAAACAAAACAAAAACAAGATTTAAGGGGTCTCTGGGGATGCTGTGGTAATGTCCCTACCCCTGGACCAGGAGGGCCTCGTTCAAGTCCCACTTGCTCCAGCGTTGTGCAATGATTTCTATGAACAGGTCAATTAGAAAAATAAGAGATGAGATTTAAGACCTTGGAATTTTTTTATGACGGCCCCACTGAATACTGGGAAGGTGCTACATTTGGAGTCTGACATTGCAAAAGCCAATTATACCTTATCAGCTGCAAAGCACTTTGAACACCTTAAAATTGTGTAAGATGCTATGTAAATGCAACCCGTTCTTTACGCTTCAAATATAAAGTGCTGGATTTGACTTTTGAGTCAGGAACCTGATGTTGGGGTCTAAAGGTCATAATGATACATTGTATCCAGAGCAGTCACTCAGCAATGGGTTTATCCTGAATTGGCCAATTGGTACCCATTTGATGTTTTATGAAGGATGGGCTCTTGAAGTTGAGGGTCAGTGGGAAGCCCTCTCACTCAGAAACGACTGCAGTCTTCACTAAGGTAAAGAGCCTCCATTTTGCGCTACCCTCTCAGCAACTTTAAAACAATCTGAAGTCAAACTCCATGCCTTCATTGTCAGAAGTTAAAATATGGAGCTCCCACCCTCTCAGTATTGTGGCTCAACCTACACAACAAGTACTGTAGCAACTCAATAAGACAGCTTACCACCACCTCCTTCAGGGGCAATTTGGAATGGGCAACCAATGCAGGCCCAGCCATAATACCCGTATTGCACGAATGAATAAGAAGCAATGACTTGATGTTCCTAATGCAGAGGGATCTGACATTTTTAAAACAAAAACCACAGATTGCTGATACAATGATTAAGTTGTACTTTCTGAATTTATAAATGTGGTTATTTTGATGACATACAGCCAGGTCAATGGCCTTCAGCATCACTTTTAGTTTAGCTGATCTCCAATGGTCAGACACGTCCAATCCAAAGGCCTGAATTTTTATGGTGAACAAGAGTGAGAAAGGGGACAGGAGTCAAGAACTGGTGAGAGAAGGCAGAGGTTAGATCACCTTCCAGTCACCATCACATTCTGCCGGTGGTGGAAAGATGGTTCAAGTGGAGGTGTTTTACCCAGCAGTTGAGTAACGGAGCATCCAATGCATTGGGAGAATGGTTGGTGATAGCTGCCAACTCCCCTGCAGGCTCAGAAGGGGCCCTCCTAATTGAACACTGTATGGCCATGAAGTACCTTCTCATGGCAATAGATGCCCATGTGGCAACACGCTTCCTCCCCATCCCCCACCCACTGCCCCCCAGTCCTACACACTCATCAGATCCTGCCTGACTGACATTGGTGACCCCAGCCCTACTTGCTCTGAGGGTAGTGTTCATTAACTGGCAGCTTTTGGAGAAGAGACCTCATCCCTTAAAGGGACTGAAATGCCAAAGACAGCTGAAAAGCTGCAAGGAAGGCCAGAGATCTGGATTCCACTAAATGGCCATGGCTAGGTGATTCCTGTCTATCATCTGGGCACTGTTACCGCAATAAAGTCCAGGCCTAAGTGCACACAATGTGATTACGAGGTGCTGATATTTTAAATTTAGGGCTCTAGACCATTTTCTGCAGATAACAGCACCTTCCTCCTCAGCCAGACATATTTCTTATTTAACCCTGGGTCATTCATTTGATTTTGATTTTGTACAAAAGTACAAGAGTATGGTGAAAAGTGTATGATGTCACCACATAAAATGCCATCTATGGTACAAGTACCAAGGTACAGAATCTGAAGAACAAGGTAGAAAGAAAGAACAAAGTTGAAAGTTAAACATTGCAGTAATTATAGTATAGTGTAAAACAAATGAAATAAGGTTAAAAGTTACACATTGCAGACCATCTTAGTTTTGAGTAGAAAATAAAGAAATAAAGCTGAAAGTTCAAACATTACAGTCTTTCTTAAGTGCTTAGCCACGGTGGGACCGCACTTTTAGGAATCACCTTGAGACCGTAAGTTCATGCTGAGGCCAAAGTTGATACCAGAGATCCAAATTAGACTGTGAGGCTAAAACACGTCAGACATTTGTCTGAAGCCCCTTCTGTGGCTCGTCAATAGTGTTAACCAATTTAGTTTTAATAAGTGCGGGAATGTGCTGGTGTTGTAGTAATGCCCCTAGGCTCGTAATCCGGCAGCACAGGCTAATGTCCTGGAGACATGGGCTCGAATATCACCATGGCAGGCAACAAAGTTTGAATTCAATAAAAACCTGGAATTGTGGTGTTGAGAAGGTAGCGGGAACGTTAAATAAACAGGGGATTTAGAAGGTCTTCTCACTGTAGGGATTGACTTTGAAAAAATAACAAAAACTAAAAACAAAACCCTGGAATTAAAAAAAAGCCTAGCTATGGAAACCGTAAACATGAACAGTTATCTTAAAAACCCACCTGGATCAAATAATGTCATCCTTACCTGGTCTGACCTACTTGTGACTCCAGAACCACAGTAATGTGGTCAACTCTTAACAATTAGAGATAGACAAGAAATTCTGACCCAGCCAGTGACACGCTCATAGCCACAAATGAATAAAGAAAGTATTTGTGCAGTGTACTTTCCTGATCTGAGTTCCTACATTACAATAATAGCTACACATTAAAATAACCTAATTGGCTGCAAAGTAGGCTGAGACAGCCTAAAAAGGATTATATAAATGTAAGCTTTTTCTTTGTTATATTTCAATTTTTATTAAAAAGAAATGCAAATACAGTACTTACCAATTTTTATAGATGCACCATAGAAAGCACTCTATCGGATGCATCACGGCTTGGTACGGCAACTGCTGTGCCAAGGGCCATAAGAAACTACAGAGAGTTGTGAACACAGCCCTGACCATCATGCAAGCCAACCTTCCATCCATTTACTCCATCTACACTTCTTGTTGCCGCAAAAAGGCAGCCAACATAATCAAAGACCCATCCCACCCCAGTTATAATCTCTTCCAACCTCTTCCATCGGACAGAAGATGCAAAAGATGAAACACACGTACCAACAGATTCAAGAATAACTTCTTTCCCACAGTTACTTGACTTTTGAACTTTTAAGTCTAATGTTGACCTTGCTCTTTGTGCACCTTCTCTACAGCCATAGCATTGTATTCCTTGCTCTGTTCTATTACCCGAATGCACTTTGTATGGTATGATCTGCTTGTACTGCACGCAAAACAAAACCTTTCACTGTGCCTAGGTACGTGTGACAGTAATAAATCCAATGGAAAAGATTGATTCAGTGCAGAGTTGTTTGATAAATGGGATTTTAAACCTCTTGCCATCTTTTACCAGAAGTGGCAGTGCGTCGAAGATGCTACAGGAAAACTTCGACTCCACAAGTGCAAAGGGACAACAAAAATGCCAGCTGGCAGCAAGAAAAGTAAAAGCCTGCGCACTCAGACGTACAGCAGTAAGGATTGTGAGTGCTCAGAGAGTAGCTACAGGATGAGTCCATCTGAGAGAAGAAACCAGAGACAGTTCCTCAGGATCCACACGACTCACAGTGAGTAGAGAAAATCCCATGACCTTATATGAACTGTTTAATACCTCTTTGGAACTGGTCCTTTGGTGCCATCTGGCGAATCAATGACATGAGTACAATTTAAATTACAGATCCAAATGAGTATTGCACGAGACAGAATATCAGAGAAAAATGAAGAAAAACAAGATAACTCAGTTTTCACACACGTAATACTGAATTCAACAAACACAAAATACAGCTTTAATATTAGCTCTGAAATAATATTAACATTCCTCCAAACTGTTTTCTGGTCTAAAAGGTGAACCTTGCTTTAGTCCTTCCTTGTGAAAGCGAGTGACAGTAACTGACTAGATGATAGCTTTTCCTATCCTTTCCTTTATTTGCGGTTTGGTCAAGTGAATGCAAATTTTAAAGAAATTAAGATTGCAATATTTATAGCATTATGTTTGCCCTCGGCAGGACCCTCAAGAGGACGATTAAATCTAACTGTACATGTGCAGTAGTGACAGCTAGCTTGTCCTCAGCACCACCTCTCTCATCTCCTCCACTGCTGCTAAATTAGGATCACTGAATCCAAAACATTAAGTCTGCTTTCTCTGCTGCCAGACATGCTGAATATCTCCAACAATGTCTGCTTTTGTTGCTAAATTATCTCTCTGCTAATCCGATATCCAGTGCAGGGTGCACAGAAATTTTCTCCAATTATATATTTGCGATACTGAAGTCATATTGGGCCAGAGCATTCAAGGGATGATCAGAATTGGGAAATACGGCTAATTCAAATCCTTTTCCTACCTTATTGCCAATGTTAACACGTTGTAATATCCTTACTGTTGACACAGCTGAGGCTGGCTAACTTGGATTAGAAACCAGGGTGCTGCTAGACCATACAACCTAGTGTCAAACAAAACAATGATTTTCCACATGTGGTCGGGTCAATGTATTTAAATTAGGAAATCCTGGGAATGTCACATTCCTCCTTATAATGTTTCATTACAGTAAAAAGAATGATGTGGAGGTGCCAGTGCTGTACTGGCGTGGACAAAGTCAGAAGTCACACGACACCAGGTTATAGTCCGACAGGTTTATTTGAAATCACAAGCTTTCAGGGTGTAGCCTCTTCATCAGGTGAAGTGAGAGAGAAGCACACAGAGCACAGAATTTATGGGCAGAGAGAGATCGAGGGCACAGAAATCAAAAGACCATACAAAAGGTGTGAGAGGAGTGCTGAATAATAAGTCACTGCAGGTGATCCGTAGTGTTTGATGGTGTGAGTAAAGTGTCAACAGCTGAATAAAAAGCAAAGGGATGACCTCCTCAGGAGACAGACACAATACAACCGTTAGCGTACCCTTCATTGTCTAGTTCATCCCCGGAGTGGAGAGACTACGCCATGTTCTCTGCAGCCTTCAACATTTCATCAATGATGACCAGCATCTCTTGACCAAGATGATGACTAAGATCATCCCTACATCCAATTAAGTCAGGCAGAGAGATAATTACAAAAAATTAAAAATAAGGTGGTGCTGGAGACAAACTAAATGACTGGAATAACATGATAGGTATAAGAGTCACATGCCGAGGGTCTAACCAAAGTAATAAATAATTCAAAACTGTACAAACTAATTAAGGTAGAGAGATCATAACAATTTATCAAGGTGATGGTGTCAAAACAGGACAGTAAGGAAGATTTTACAGACGCAGGACACATTTTACAGATACAGCACAGTGTGGTGGGGTCACATGTAGGGCAACATGAACGCAAAATCACTGTTGAGGCCATCTTCATGGGTACAGAACCTGGCTATTAGTTTCTGCTCGGTGATTCTGTGTTGTGTATCTCGAAGGCTGCCTTGGAGGACACTTACCTGAAGATTGGAGGCTGAATGTCCTTGATTGTTGAAGTGTTCTGTGAATGGAAGAAAACATTTATCGGGTTGGTGATGGCCTAGTAGTATTATCACTGGACTGTTAATTCAGAGACACAGACAACATTATGGAGACCCAGGTTCAAATCCTGCCATGGCAGATGGTAGCATTTGAATTCAATAAATATCTGGAATTAAGAATCTAATGATGAACATGAATCCATTGTCAATTGTCGTAAAGATCACTAATGTCGTTTAGGGAAGGAAACTGCCATCCTTACCTGGTCTGAACTACATGTCACTCCTGACCCACAGCAATGTAGTTGACTCTTAACTGCCCTTTGGGCAATTAGGGATGAACAATAAATGCTGCCTAGCCAGCGATGCCCTTATCCTCTGAATGAATAAAGAAATTCCTGTCTGGCGATTGTTGCGCGGTGTCCATTCATCTGGTCTCGCCAATATACCATGCCTCAGGGCATCCTTGCCTACAGTGTATGAGATAGACAACATTGGCTGCGTCACATGAGTATCTGCTGTGTACGCGGTGTTCACATGTGTGATGTTAGTATCCATTTCATTGATCTGACATGTCTTGCAGAGGTTGCCATGGCAGGGTTGTGTGGTGTTGTGGTAAATATTGTCCTGAAGGCTGGGTAGTTTGCTGTGAATGATGGTCTGTTTAAGATTTGGCGGTTGTTTGAAGGCAAGAGGTGGAGGCGTAGGGATGATTTTGGTGAGATGCTGGTCATCAGTTGTAGGCTGCAGAGAACATGGCGTAATCTCTTCGGGGAAGTACTGGACAGTGATGGGTACGCTAACGGTCATATCCTGTGTCTGTATCCTGAGGAGGTCAGAACGGTTTTTCGCTGTGGCACATTGGAACGGATGAGTTGAGTATTGTATCCTGTTCTTATGAGGGCATTCTTCAAAATCTTCAGGTGCCCATTACATTCCTCCTCATCTGAGCAGATCCTGTATATACATAGGGCTTGTCTGTAGGGAATGGCTTCATTAATATGTTTAGGGTGGAAGCTAGAGAAATGCAGCATCACGTGATTATCCATGGGCTTGCGGTAGAGTGAGGTACTGAGGTGTCTGTCCTTGATGGAGATGTGTGTGTCCAAGAATGAGACTGATTCTGAAGAGTAGCCCATGGCAAGTCTGATGGTGGGATGAAACTTGTTGATATCGCAAGATAGTTGTTTCAGTGATTCCTCACCATGAGTCCAAAGGAAGAAAATGTCATCAATGTATCTGGTGTACAGCATTGGTCGGAGGTCTTGCGCAGCAAAGAAGTCTTGTTCGAACCTGTGCATGAAAATGTTGGCATATTAGGAAGCAAATCTGGTCCCCATGGGTGTTCTGTGTGTCTGGATGAAGAACTGGTTATTGAAGGTGAAGATGTTGTGGTCGATGATGAAGCGGATGAGTTGTAGGATGGCGTCTGGAAATTGGCAGTTGGTGGTATTGAGTACTGAGGCTGTTGCAGTGATGCCTTCGTCATGGGGAATGCTGGTGTAGAATGCCGAAACGTCCATTGAGACGAGGAATGTTCCTGTTTCTACTAGTCCTTGGGTGCTGAGTTTCTGTAAGAAATCTGTAGTGTCATGACTGAAGCTGGGGGTTTCTGTACAATGGGTTCCAAGATGCCCTCGACATAGCCAGAGAGGTTCTTACACAGGGTCACATTGCATGACGATGGAACGTCCAGGTGTGTTTCTTCAGAAAGCAGCAGAAGTCCACTATGCGAGAAGTACGCGTGATGAGAGTGCATAGGATACTCTGAAGGTCTGGATCAAAGGTCTTGATCAATTGTGCAGTTGACGGGTGTGTTCTTTGGTCAGATTGGCAGTAGTCGTCTGTAGTGTTCCTGGTTTTTACTTGTTGATGTGCTTCTTTGCAGTAATCTGTTCTATTCCATATGACGATGGCTCCTCCTTTGTCTGCTGGTTTGACTACAATGTTGTGAATGGTCTTGAGAGCATGGATGGTGTTGTGCTTTTGTGACGTTCTGCGCTATCTTGTGAGTGCGGTTAATGAATCTGGCGTTAATGCATCTCCTGACAGTTTGACATTGCTGTCGAGCGTAGGGCAGCAGCCTTCTGGTGGGGGGGGTCCAATTCGACTCCTTCTTCGGACACCGCACCACAGATCTCTCTGTCGACTGTTCCGGTTCGTTGGTTGTTTCATGGGCTCACTGCTGACATCTTGGGGTTTGTGGAAGAATTCCCGGAGCCTCATTCACCTGATGAATTCCTCTGTGTCTGCCGCCAGACCACTGGGGTCCATTTTGGTGGTGGGGCAGAAATTCAGCCCTTGGCTGAGAACTTCAATTTCATCCGGTTGAAGGGTGTGGTCAGACAAGTTGACGATGGATTTTCCCTGCGGTAGTACTGCTTACAACCATGGTACCGGGGAGGCTTGGTTACTGCCGGTGGTAATGCCAAGTTTCTCCAATTTTTTGTTCTTGGTTGTGCAGTTCCGTTGTCCCGTCTGCTTGGCAGTGTCTCGTAGTTGGTCTGCTGTATGCAGTATCCATTTGTCTCCAGCACCACCTTATCTCTCATTTTTTGTAAGAATCTCTCTGCCTCATTTAATTGGATTGTAGAACACCTCTTTGCTTGTTATTCAATCGTTGACACTTTACTCACACTGTCCGACACTACGGATCACCAGCAGTGACTTATTATTCAGCACTCCTCTCACACCATTTGTATAGTCTTTTGATCTCTCTGCCCTTGATCTCTCTCTGCCCATAAATTCTGTGCTCTGGGAGCTTCTCTCTCACTTCACCCGCCAAAGGGGATACGCTCCGAAAGCTTGTGATTTCAAATAAATCTGTTGGACTATAACCTGGTGTCTTGTGAGTAAAAAGAACAGAAATGAATAACCCTTGTATTTTATAAAATTAGTTTTCAGCAAAGTGCCATTTACGTCAGTGACTCATCCAATTAAAAAAGTTATTTTTGCTACCATTCTGTGAGCAATGGTACCCTCCCCATCTGTTGCTGACCAGCCACTCTCATTCCTCTGGCCGTATCCAAACTTATATCACTCTGTACTGAACAGTAACACTTGTCCTAAGTGATAGATCTTCCAAACATACACTGGGATCTTGGCAAAGGTTGGTGAGTATGAATTCAGCCTCCACTTTCGTTTTATTTTATCTCTACCACAACCACTGTATCAGAAAGATCTATGCGATACAATCATAGACTAATACAGCATGAAAACAGGCCCTTTGGCCCAAACTGGTTCCTGCTGACCATGTTGCCAATTAGCTAGTTCCAGTTGCCCGCATTTGTTCCATATCTTTCCAAACCCTTCCCATCCATGTACCTATTCACATGTTTTTAAAATGTTGCTATTGCACCTGCCTCAACCAGCCCATTTCTCTGGCAGCTCATTCCATATACGCACCACTCTCTGTGTGAAGAAGTTGCCCCTCAGGTCCTTCTCAAATCTATCCCCTCTCACCTTAAACCTATGTCCTCTAGTTTTCTATTTTCCATCTCTGGGAAAATGACTATATGCAGTCATCCTATCTATGCCCTTCATGATTTTATACACCTCAATAATGTCATTCCTTATTCTCCTACATTCCAATGAATAAAGTCCTATTCTGTCCAACCTCTCCCTATAATTCAGGCCTACTAGTCCTGGCAACATCCTCGTAAATCTTCTTTACACACTTTCCAGTTTAACTATGTCTTTCCTATAACAGGGTGACCAAAACTGTACACAATACTCCAAGTGCGGCCTCACCAATGACTTATACAACTGTAACATAACGTCCCAATTCCTATACTCAATGCCTCGATGAAGACCAGCATGCTAAATGCCTTCTTCACCACCCCATCCATCTGTGACGCCGCTTTCAATGAACTGTGTACTTGTAGTCAGAGGTCACTCTGTTCCACAACACCCCTCAGGACCTCACCAGTTACTGTGTAAGTCCTACCTTGGTTTGACTTTCCAAAATGCAACACCTCACATTTATTTGTATTGAAATGCATTTGCCAATCCTCAGCCCACTTCCCCATCTGTAAAAGATCCCTCTGTAGTTTTTGATAACCTCATTCGTTATCAATGATACCTCCTAATTTTGTATCACCTACAAGCTTGCTCTTCATGCCTTGTACATTTACATCCAGGTCATTTATGTAAATAACAAATAACAAAGGTCCCAGCACTGACCCCTGTGTCATACCACTAGTCACAGGCCTCCAATCCAAGAAACAACCTTCAACCATCACCCTCTACTTCCTACCATCAAGCCAATTTTGAATCCAATTAGCTGGTTCTCCCTGGATCCCATACAACATAACTTTCATGACTAGCCTGATGTTTGGGACCTTGTCAAAGGCCTTACTAAAGTCCATATAGATCACATCCACTGCCCTACCCTCATCCATCCTCTTGGTTACCTCTTCAAAAAACTGTCAAAGATTTGTCAGACCTGACCTACCATGCACAAATCCATGCTGACTATCCCTGATCAGACTTGATGATCCAAATGTTGGTTGATCCTGTCCCTCAGTATCTTCTCCAATAACTTGCATACTACTGATGTCAGGCTCACTGGCCTGTAGTTCCCTGGGTTGTCTTTGCTACCTTTCTTAAACAATGGAACAACATTAGCCAACTTCTAGTCTTCTAGAACTTTACCACTGGCTAAAGATGAAGCAAAAATCTCTGCAAGGGCCTCTGCAATTTCTTCCCTAGCCTCCCACAACATCCGAGGATGGACTTGATCAAGCCCAGGAAATTTATCCACCTTAATGCACTTTAAGGCTGCGAACACCTCCTCTCTTGTAACGTGTATACAGTCCAAAACATCCCCACTTGTTTCCCTTATTTCATTAGGGTCCATGATTCTCTCCTCAGTAAACACTGAGGAGAAATATTCATTAAAAATCTGCTTCATCTCCTGTGGCTCCACACATAGATAGCCATGATGATCTTTGAGGGAACCTATTCTCTTCCTCACAACAGGGAGGATATCACACTTCTAAAAGCCTCCCATTTGCCAGTCATTCCTTTTCCTTCAAACAGACTCAGCCAATCGACCTCTGCTAGATCCTGCCTAATGTCCCCAAAATTGGCCCTGCTCCAGTTCAGCACCTTAACCTGTGGACCTGTTCTATCTTTTTCCATAACTATGTTAAAACTAAGAGAGTTATGGTTACTGGACCCAAAGTGCTCTCCGACTGACACTTCAGTCACTTGCCTGACCTTGATTCCTAAGAGGAGGTCCAGTGTTGCACCCTCCCGAGTAGAGCCGTCTACATATTGATTTAGGAAACTTTCTTGGACACATTTAACAAATTCCACCCCATCTGAGCCTTTTACACTCTGGGTGGCCCAGTCAATACAGGGGAAATTAAAATCTCCAACCAATGCTACTCTGTTCTTCCTCCAGGTATCTGCAATCTCTACACATCTGCTGCTCTCGTATCCACTGGCTATTTGGGGATCTATAATACAGTCCCCACAGAGTGACCATCCCCTTCTTGTTTCTAAGTTCTAACTATATGGCCTCACTTGATGAACTTTCAAGAATATCCTCTCTAATCACTGTTGTTATGTCCTCCCTTATCAAAAGGGCAACTCCCCCTCTTCGGTCACTTGTACTTCTGTCACGCCTGTAGCTTCTGTATCCTGGAACATTGAGCTGCTAGTCCTGCCCTTCTCTCAGCCACGTTTCTGTTATGGCGATAATATCCCAGTCTCCAGAGCCAATCCATGCTCTGAGCTCACCTGCCTTACCAGTCAGGCCTCGTGCGTTGAAATAAATGCACTTTAAACCAGAAGTCTTTTCCCTCCCTTTACTTTTCCCCCGGCTATCCTGAATAGTAAACTTGCTCTTGACGGCTAACATATTTTCCCCTGATTTCTTGATGGTGCCTCTCTTATTCAGAGTCCCACCCCCTGCCAAACTAGTTTAAACCCTCCCGGGTAACACTAGCAAATCTCCCCACGAGGATATTGGACCCTCTGGTTCAAGCTCAACCCGTCCCTCTTGTACAGATCACCTCTACCCCAGAAGAGATCCCAATGATCCAAGAACTGAAAACCCTGCCCCCTACACCAGCTCCTCAGCCATGCATTCATCTGGCCTATCGTTCTATTTCTATCCTCACTGGTGCGTGGCACTGGTAGTCATCCAGAGATCACTACCCTTGAGGTCCTGCTTTTTAACTTCTTACCTAACTCCCTGTACTCATTTTGCAGGATCCCATCCCTATGTCATTCGTGCTGATGTGCACAATGACCTCTGGCTGTTCATCCTCCCCCTTCAGAATGTTCTGCAACTGCTCAGAGACATCCTTGACCCTGGCACCCAGGAGACAACACACCATCCTGGTGTCTCTTCTGTGGCACAGAATCTCCTGTCTGTCCCCTTCACAATTGAGTCTCCTATCAGCATCACTCTGTCTGACTGAGCCTCAGAGCCGGTCACAGTGCCACTGACCTGACTGCTGCTGCTCCACCCCCCTAAAGGGCCCCCCCCCCCCCCCCCGCCGCCTCCTCCAACAGTATCCAATGTGGTATACCCATTATAGAGGGGAATGGCCACAGGGGAACCCTGCACTACCTGCCTTCCTCCTTGACCTCTTCTGATGTCAGAGTACTATCTCTTTGGAGATATTTGGAGCCTACATAATCCTGTTGTCTTTCAGTCAGTGACTGAAAGAGGAGGGAAGAAATGGGAAAGATAAAAGAAAGATGTCCAAACCTTGGATTTCCCAACCAACAGAAAACAGCAAGTGTCTATAAGTAGAGCTCTGCTTTGACCCGCTTTTGGCACTTTTTAAAACCTGATTTCTGTAGTGCTATCTTCGCTCCAGTGATTTGAGTATGCCATGGAAGGTAACCATGCCAGTGTAAGGCAGCATTAACAACACTGTGTCTACAAAAGGGTTGCCTGTTTTCAGCATTCCCTGATGAGTTGAATTGGTGCCATTAGTGGCGTGTGTATTAAGATATACTTTTCCTTCCGAACAGAATTTAAACCTCGCTTCATTCATACTCGGCCAATCCGCTCGGTTTCAGTTGAATTAGAAGGTGAGATTTATGACATTGACCTGGAAATTAAAGAACTCAAGTCTCTGATGGCAAAAAATATGAGCGCAGCCTATTCCCGAGAGGAAAGCCTGGCTGAAGAGGGAGACGAGAACAAGGACATGATTGCTGAGGATGGCAGGAAGGCTGATGCATCGCTGCTAGATTCAGTCAAGGTCACACACAAGTAAGTCTGGCTTATTCATTGCAGCATTACGTCCTATGCATTTAGAGATCTAGCTTTTCTATGCAGTGGTGCCTTGAAGTGGTACCAGTGGGGCAACACAGTGGCTCAGTGGTTAGCACTGCTGCCTCACAGCGCCAGGGACCCAGGTTTGATTCCATCCTCGGGTGACAGTCTGTGTGGGTTTCCTCCCGCAGTCCAAAGATGTGCAGGTTAGTTGGATTGGCCATGCTAAATTGTCCATAGTGCCCGGGATGTGCAGGCTAACTGGATTAGCCATGGGAAATGCAAGGTTATAGGGACAGGGTAGGGGAATGTAACTGGGTGGGATGCTCTTCAGAGGGTCAGGGTGAATTCAATGAGCTGAATGGCTACACACAGTAGGGACTCGATGAAAGTACTCATAACAAGTGCTGATTGTGTTCTTTTGAGTATATTAAAATAAAACTTCAGTTTGACACACAAAACCGTCTTTTTCTGGTGTGTATCATTTATGTGCTGATAACTTTACTTATTTCTTTCTTGAAGGTGTTTCATTCTTGCCAATGACACAGTGCATTGTGAGAAAGAGCTGTACCAGTCAGCTAGAGCATGGAAGGACCACAAGAGCTACATAGACAAAGAGGTTAGATATTTTCAAATCAGCAGTCCGTTAATATTATCGATGTCGGGCAAGGACACAGATTCTGTCAGGCCAATGGTCTCTTGCCCGCCATCCGGAGAACCTCCTGTCACTTCCATGGAAGCTGCCTGATTGAATCAAGTGCCTGTCAGGGACTTAGATAGCCACTATCAGGCCTTGCCCCCCCACCCCGCCCGCAAGGACCCCTGCAGCACAAGAAGTGCCTGCAGCATAAGATGTGCCCTCCAAGACGTGCTGGTCAACCAGCATCAGGCACTTCTCATGGATCCAGTCTTAGGGAGTGGTGGCAGGGTCCACCAGGGTCACCATGGGAAACCAGGCCAAATCTGTGTGATGATGGGATGGGGATTGTGAGGTGGCTGTTACAGGAGAAGAAGTGGGGAGGGGGATCTAGGGCAAGTGCAAAGCATGATTCTCTTCGGCCTCCCCTTTGCAAGGTACTTCAATTGGGCAAAGAGCTGGTGGCCTTCCGAGGGAACAGGAAAGCCATATGGCCTCCATTTAATCATAGAGTCATAGAGCTGTGCAGCACGGAAACAGACTCTTCGGTTCAACTCCAATGCCAACCAGATATCCTAAATTAATCTAGTCCCATTTGCCAGCATTTGGCCCATATCCCTCTAAACCCTTCCCATTCATGTACCCACTCAGATGCCTTTTAATTGTACCTGCCTCCACCACTGCCTCTGGCAGTTCATTCCCTACACACACCACCCTCTGTGGATAAAGGTGCTCCTTCCTGTTCCCTTTCAAATCTTTCCCCTCTCACCTTAAACCTATGCCCTCTAGTTTTGGACTCCCATACGCCAGGAAAAAGACCTTGGCTATTCACCCTATCCATGCCTGTCATGATTTTATAAACCTCTATAAGGTCACCCCTCAGCCTCCGACACTCCAAGGAAAATAGCCCCAGCCTATTCAGCCTCTCCCTCTAGCTCAAACACTCCAACCCCGGCAACATTATTGTAAATCTTTTCTGAACCCTTTCAAGTTTCACAACATCTTTCCTATAGCAGGAAGACCAAAATTGTACACAGTATTCCAAAAGTGGCCTAACCAATGTCCTGTATAGCCGCAACATGCCCCCTGAGAAACCACTGCTTTGCAGTCATTGATTAAATTAACAAGCCTAATTGACATACTGTAAGCAGTAGCCAGGAATTCTGTGTCATTTCCCTTCTGCCCTTGGAGTGAATCCATGGAGGTTTTGCCACCACTGAGAGGTTAATGCTGTGATAGTCTGAGAGGGGTCACCAGATCTCCCATAACTCCAGCCTGAGATTTCTGCCCACTAATTTCCCATTCCCGGTGAAAAGACAGGAATGGATAGGAAAATTTCCTACTTGAGGAATGGAATGTCATTAAAGAAGTGTATTATATAGGTGGATATTGAACAGATGGTGGTGAGATGGTGGAATGGGTTGTCAGAGGTTGTGGTGGAAGTGAGTACAATTTTGTCATTTAAGAAGCATTTACACAGGTACATGGATGGGATAGGTATGGAGGGATTTAGGTCAAACCCAGGCAAATGGGACTAGTTTAAATTATGAAAACTGGGCAGCATGGACAAGTTGGGCTGAAGGGTCTGTTTCCATGCTGTAGACCTCTATGACTCCGTGAGATGATTGTCTTAGTTCAACACTAAAGTATAGGCTGAAGCTTGCTAGACTTTGGATAAATTAATCCGGTGGCTCAGTGGTTAGCACTGCTGCCTCACAGTGCCAGGGACCCAGGTTTAATTCCACCCTTGGATGACAGTGTAGAATTTGCACATTCTCCCTGTATCTGCGTGGGTTTCCTCTGGGTGCTCCGGTTTCCTCCCACAGTCCAAAGATGTGCAGGTTAGGTGGATTGGCCATTCCCATTTGCCCATAGTGTTCTGGGATGTGTAGATTGGGTGGGGGATAGGGACATGGGTCTGGGTGGGATGCTCTGAGGGTCAATGTGGGTTTGTTGGGCCGAAGGGCCTGTTTCCATACTGTAGTGATTCTATAATTATTCCTTATGGTTGGTGTGATGGAGCAGAGATAAAAATCCAAGGAGGACAAAATTCCAGGTGTTTTTGGAAGCCATTCTTAAACTGCAAACATCATCAAAACCAGCCAATAGAGAGAGTGTCAATCTGAAATTGATTTGCATCATCATTAGCAAAATGAAGGTATTTTGTGATTTTGAAACAAGAAGATAACCCTCTTTTTGACTCTCAATCATAGATTGAAGCTCTTCAAGACAAAATAAAGAATCTGAGAGAAGTGAGAGGCCACCTAAAAAGAAAGAAACCTGAGGAATGTGACTGCAACAAAAAGAGGTTGGTTTCTATAATGTGTGATATGAACAGCTAATCCTTCTAACCTTAAAGGTAATTTCCTCTTCTTTACTCTGTTTCTTGAGTGCAAAGCAGTACAAGATGCATGAAGGCACAAGGGCTCTTTCCCTGTGTGTAACCTGAGGGTGGGGGTAGGGGGCATCTCTTGTTGTGAGGACAAGTGCAGAAATTCTAAAAAATGAATTCAGAGAAACACAATAGCACCTCTGTCCTCACTCATTTCTCATGATAGTCGTAAATGCTGGTGCCCTTATAATAAATGCTATAATGAATAATTTCTATTTAATGTAGTTATTTTAGTAGAGCTAAAGGAATGAGAAACCAAGGGAAACTGAAGAACAAGAACAATCATCTCCATCCCTTTAGGTAGGTGACAATTTGTCTCAGACTATGCATTTACAGCGATTACAGCTTTGACAAGAGATCAGAGAAAATCATTTTTGCTCAATATTTGCTTGGAACTAGCTCCCCAGCCTTTTAAAATGAGTTAACTCACATTATGCTCTCATTTTCCTCATGGCTGATTCTATATTTTTCTTTGAACAGTGCATGACTTGGGGATAGAACCATTTTTTTATCCATCAAGAGCAATAAACAATGTTATATCTGTATCAGGCAGATATAGGTGAAACTTCTATCCAAAACTCAAAAAAAGACAAGCCTTTTCAATAAATATCTGATTCACTTTCCAATACTTAGACATTCTTGCCAACATTTCTGTCTGAAGTGCTAGGTCTTGCAAAGTGATGGAATATTTTGTGGTAAGCATGTGGTCAATTGGAATATCGTTCACGTTCATTCAAAATAGGACCCTAAAACCCCATAGAGAAAGCACATTCCTTGAACTGAAGTTGCCCACAGGTTCCAGATGTGAAAACTAACTGACTCACCCACCAGATTCTTCTTGACTTCCATAGTCCTTATTTAATGCAAGATGAGAGTGTAATAATGACAATTCCCCTAACATGAGGACCAAGTCATTTTAACTCTTCAGTATTATTAACATAATTCAGGCCCAACTTGTACTCGAATTCAGCAGTTATGATGAGGAGCCTGATGGGTGGGAATAGCAAGTGTCCACTGTGGAGATTCTTGGGATGGAAAGGCCCAACATTTCCTAATGAGGTCTGAAAACGTCTTCCTACTGCTTCTCTTGCAAATCAAGTCTTCTCATCAAATTATTTTCAAATCATACTTTACTGACTCTCTTGGGCCCGCTGCTCCTTGTTGCCCAGGTCTATATCCAGTAATGACAACAAAATCCGTGGTGATGGTCAGCAGAGGCCCGGCTATGGTATAAATAATTTCTTTTTGGTTTCTGCGTCAACCGAAGGGGAAGGAACTCTCGTCTCCACAAGGAAATCTTGGATCTGCCCTGCTGTGGTTTCTTTCAGCCTCCCTTTGCAACCATTCCCATCCTCATAGTTACTCCCACCAGGATCAGACAAGTATTCACTCTGGAATACGTCAAAGGAGCGAGAATTGGAAGGATTGGGGCCTGTGCTGTCACCATCATGGGTGCTTCCCATTTTCTCAGGCTCCTCCGTGTTGTGTTTGTACCACATATAAACCAGAGTTCACGTTTAAAAAAAAGCATTCTGCATATTGTTCAAGAAAATGCTAAAGAGATGTAAGTTGAATCCATTGCGTTATTGGATCAGCTTGATGTCACATACCCTACTACCACTGCTCCATCAATGTAACTCAGATTGTCAAATAACTAATCAGATGCTAACTCCATTACTTAATCTTTTCAGGGAAGTGGCTCAGGAGGTAGACAGTAAACTGCAACTGTTTAAGGAGAATCGGAGAAAGAAGAAAGATCGTAAAATAAAGAAACGCTTGAGGAAGGGAGATGACTGTAGCCTTCCTGGTCTGACCTGCTTCACACATAATAATGACCACTGGCAAACGCCACCTTACTGGAACTGTAAGCAAAGGTTTTTGTTTTGCGTACGGTTTGTTGCTAAGGTTTTATAGGAGATAAATCTTGGACTGGATCCTCAATGCACTCTATCCTGAGTGGGAATTTGTGAGAATTTATTGCCCACTTTCCTGCCCAGGGTTGGTGGACCAGGGCAGTTCATCAGGTGGAAGAAGGCGGGTTGGGAGCAGTAGTAAACTTGCTGCCTTCCCACCTCTGCCGTGATTTAATGTGTAGGTGGGGAGGCCTGTGGGCGCCCTTAAACTCTTGCCACCTCTTAATACCCATTTAAGTGTATCATGCCATTACATGCTACTAGTATTAATGCAGCAGTGAACAGAGGGCTTGATATGGACAGGCTCCCATAGAAGCAAATACGTCTCTGTTGATCACTTAGTTTTGCTATTTAAACGGAGATACTTTGACAGACTATGTGGAAGGGTCCCGTGATATGTCCATTGGCTTACACAAATGCTGGAATCATTGCTGTGAATGACAGCGGGAGGATGTTACGGGGTGAGCATAGGGGATTGACAGGGATTGGCTTTCAACACGATCCCCTCCCCAATGCCAGGTCCCTCAATCAGGCACTGAGTGCTTTGGGCCGAGCAACAACACCAAGATCCCACAAACAATACCACAATCTGTCAATGTCTGTATGTTTAAACAGCATAGATAAACAATCCACAGATAAGCATTGACTGTTTCTCTCCCTTAAATTACATTTTGATGCAGCAATAACCTAAAGCAATAACATTGCAGATTATTATTAGTCATGCTACTAGGATACTTGGAAAGTAGGAACAGGAGTAGGCCATTCAGCCCCTCAAGCCTGTTCCACCATTCAATAAGATCATGGCTGATCTGTGGCCTAACTCCATATACCTGCCTTTGGCCCATATCCCTTAGTACCTTTATTTAACAAAATGCATCTCAGATTTAAAGCTAACAACTGATGTAGCATCCACTGCCATTCGTGAAAGAGAATTCCAAACATCTACTACCCTTTAAGTGTAAAAATGCTTCCTAACATCTCTCCTGAAATGTCTGGCCGTGATTCTCAGTTTATGCTACCGTGGATGTGACATCCAGATCAACCATGATCTAATTGACTGATCGATCAGGCTTCAGCGGCCTGTTGAGTCTACTTGTGTTTTCATGTTCCTTTCTCTCTAACTACAATTTCCATCCCTGGACCACCCTCCTGAATCCGCACTGTACAATATCTGTAGTTTTAATGATTTTTTTTCTGTAGTGGAACTCCCAAAACTCAATGCGCCCAAAAAACTACACAAATCTCTCTTTTGCATTCTACATTCTACATTCTAAAGTCCAAAATATTGTTCTCCTGAACAAAACCAGAAATTGCTGGAGAAACTCAACAAGTTTGGCAGCATCTGTTAACATTAACTCAGTTTCTGTTTCCACAGATACTGCTAGACTTGCTGAGTTTCTCTAGTAATTTCAAGTTTTGTTTCAGCTCTCCAACATCCACAATTCCTTGGTTTTTGTTGTTGGTTTTATCTACCTGCATGATCATTGGGATACAGAAACAATATTTTTTGTCTTTTTTTTACGTATTAGTTCTACAATAATAGTGTTAGAGACGAAAGGCTGTGTGGGCAGTTAACAGGAAAAGCTTATGTAATAAAACCTCTGGTTATTCCTGGTACCTCTGCGCAGGTTTTAGGCAGTGTCAGTTGTTGCTTCCAATGTTAGCAATGTGTTGTGGCCCATTGACAGCTGTAACTCTGTATTATGTGCAATGTAATACTATTGGGCCATTCAATCATATCAATGCACCCACCCCCCCACCACCCAGTTAGGATCACACATTATTGTGATAACCTGTGGCAGCATTCCCAGATCTGTCACAGCAAGACATCTTCATGTTTATAAATAAGCAAAAATTTGTTTTGCAAACCAATGAAGGGAAATTCCTTTCAATTCAACTTAGTGCTAGTTCGAAGTGGCTCCTTCAGTACAGTCTGAATTGATTACCTCATCAGTCTCAGTAGTACACTATACTGTGTTTAAATAAGCTATGAATTGTGTGACTCGTGCCTGTTTATAAATGTTTGACTTTTAAAAGATACTGATAGAGTGATTCTATGACAGTGAACTCTCAGGATATCGATGCAACAAGAATTTTCTCATTGGGAGCTTGCATCAGGGGTAACATCTAACATTGGTGGATGTGTACCTTGTAGTGGGCAGCGCACCTAGTATATACACTGCCCTGAATGGAAACAGAGATCATGAGAGACTGTAAGATTATGAGGCAGCAAATCACAACTTTCTATTTCATGGTCCCACCATATGATAGATTTTACCATAATCATTGCATTTGGAAATGCTGTTTTCTTCTTTAACCTGAAAAAGGCTTTTCCCTTTCATTACAGTAGGATCCTTCTGTGCTTGTACAAGTTCTAACAATAACACTTACTGGTGTTTGCGAACCATCAATGAGACTCACAACATCCTCTTCTGCGAATTTGCTACAGGTTTCCTTGAATATTTTGACATGAACAGTGATCCATATCAAGTAAGGAAGTTTTTCTTTTGTCCAGTGAAATCAAAAATTGAAATAATCATGAGATAAAAAGACAGGTACAGACTGGCAAAGCTATTTCTTCAATTTATATTCTAAGCCATCAAGTTCTGATGGTGCCACTATACCACTAGAAGTGAAATGCATGAGAATTTTCACCCACCGTGATACCTGACCGCTGACTAGTCTTAAGTTCCAAGTCAGGTACTTAACATCCCAAAAAGATGTGCATGTTGTCTAAATCATGTAATATGTGGACATTCCAAACCTATACCATCCTTTGTGTGTCAAGTGTTTACTAATTTCACTCCTGAAAGATCTGACTCCCGTTTTTATTTGGGCAGCCTCATCCTAGATGCCCTAACCAGCAGGCACAGTTTCAGTCAATCTATCCTATCGACCCCTCTTGATCTCATTGAATGGCTAACAGGCTCGAAGGGCTGAAATTCCTACTCCTGTTCCGATGTTAATTGTCTGAATTCCAGAAAATACAACCCTAGTTCACATGATTTCCACCCTCCCACCCACCCCATAATTGAACTCTTGGAGATCACGTATCATTCTGGAAAACGTCAGCAGCTGTCTACTAATATTCGAGAAGGATTTAACAAAATGTGACACAAAAATGATGCCTTCCTTCCCATTGAGTCATACAGCATGGAAACTGACCCTTCAGTCCAACCAGTCCATGCTGACCATAATCCCAAATTAAACTCGTCCCACCTGCCTGCGTTTGGCCCATATCCCCACAAACATTTCTTATTCATGTACTTATCTAAATGTCTTTTAAATGTTGTAACTGTATGCACATCCACCACTTCCTCTGGAAGCTCATTCCACACACGAACTACTCCCTGTATAAAACAGTTGCCCCTCATGTCCTCTTTAAATCTTTTTCTCTCATATGTATGGCCCTCACCACTGGCCCTTTGTAGCCCCTATGCCAACTTAATGCCAACCCATGGCCCCCATCCAGCACCCTTTTCCCCATCTCTTATGGAATCAGAATTATAGAATTATTACAGTGCAGAAGGAGGCCATTCTGCCCTTAATTTCTGTACTGGCTGCAAAGTATTTCATTTATGATTAATCTCTGGCCTTTTTTCGAACCCTACACGTTGTTTGTATGTAAATAAACATCTATTTTACAGGGCAACTAATGTTTACACCTTGAGTAAACCTCAGGGCCTATGTACAGATGAGAAACTAAAATTCTATAAGATAAAGTAAGTGCATTGCATTCTTCACAATCCTGAGAAAAACACTGCCATTCACCAAAATTGGTTTACTACATTTCATTTTTTTCTCTTCAATAAAGTTTTATAAAAATAAACGTTGAATTTAAGTGTGACAAACATTGGACTTCATAGTCCCACATCAAAGAATCCAAAGCCAGTTGTAGCTGGCAATAGAAATGTGAAATGGAGGCACCCCATTGTGACAAAGGATCCTTGGGAAATCAGATATGTAACATTAATAAAGTAATGGAAATTAGACCCATGTAAACAGATAGAGCGAAATAGAGGGCAATCATTTATTTATCTTGCCAAACTTTGTTTCAAAGATTAAAAAGACTGGAGTTTTAAATCCGTTCACTGTCTTGACAGGTCCCATTCTCAACTTGATGTCTCATTGAGTTTATTCATCTTTCATGCACATCCATGTATACTCCTAACAATCCTACAAGGTACTCGATCTCTCCAAACGGGTTGCTTATCTTCCCCAGAGGGCAGTTTACCTTCCATAAAGTGTCACAGGACTACCTGTCCAAAAGGCACATGGCTATCAAAACTAATTCACTTGTTTCAGACCTGCACTAACCTGGTCTGATCAGCACACTTCTGATTTCGCCTCACCAAAATCCTGCAAAGTTAGAGGGGAGGCAATGGCTGGGTTAGCTCCTCCCATTCCTACTCCAGGTATCCCCTACTTAAGGACGCCCCCTGCTCCCGGTACAGGACTCCGTTCCTCACTCCCCCTGCTCCCTGTGCAGGACTCCCCCACTCTCCCCACTGCTGGTACAGGACTCATCCCACTCCCCTTGCTCCCTGTGCAGGGCTCACCCACTCTTCCCATTCCCAGTACAGTCTCCCTTTTGCACTGGGCTTTGCAGCTGCCCCCACCCAACCCCCTCATCAGTGGCACATGTGACAACGATGTCACTGTCACTGAGATGTGGGGAGGCAGTACCCTACTGGTATATAAACTGTGCTATTAATATAGAGACCCAGCTAATGTCAGGGACTTGGGTTCAATCCCACCATGCCAGATGATGGCATTTGAGTTAAATGAAAATCTGAAATTAGCCATCTAATAATGAATTGGTTGTTGGGGAAACACCCATCTTGTTCTTCAATGTCTTTTTGGAAAGGAAGTGTCTGCTCTACATGTGACTCCAGACCCATAGCAATGTCGCTGACTCTTCACTGCCCTACAGGCAATAAATGTTGGCCCTGAGGCACTGCAATATGCCTTTTACCTTTTGCTGCAGACTGCTCTCAGCCTTACTTGTATTCTGAATGATATCACCAAATGAGCACCTCCCCCCCATCTAAGCTCAACAGTTCAGTTCTTGTTTCTGACATAGTATGTATTACAATGTTGTTGTAAACTGCAACATCCAAAAGCCTCCCCCATTAAGTGCAGAAGGCTGACCTCTGTTTTGATTTTGTGATTTCAGCTGACGAATACCGTACACATGGTAGAACGGGAAGTTCTTAATCAGTTGCACATTCAGTTAATGGAGCTGAGAAGTTGCCAAGGACACAAACAGTGCACTCCACGGGCTAAAAGTGTGGAATCAGGTAATTTTCAGATGACAAAATATACAGTAATTCTCCTGAACTCTCTTCATCAGGAGTCTTCATGTACAAGTAGTGAAATTATAAAAGAATATTGAATTTCTGCTATTGTTATTAACATTTGTCAAAGAAAACACTTGGTTTGTGTTGTTTGTTTGGAATAGTATTCTTGAATTAGTGCAACATAGGTGGCCACATTATTTCACATGAAATCTTCATGAAAAACTGCATATTTGGATCACACTTGTTTAAAATGGATAGCATTTTTACAACACACGAGTGAAAATCATCATAGAATTTACATTTTCATCAAATTGTTCTGATACTGAGAGTCCACTGTAGAACTTGTTACCATATGGGTCTCTTTAGGACAGCCCATCAAGTTTATTCAGCATATTAAGTCAGCTGATTTCATGTCTGTCATGAAAATGTGTGTTTTCTGCTTTCATTTTCAAAAACAATTGAATTTCTGACTTGTTCAACAGCATTTTAATGTTGATTGTTATCAAAAGCTGAGTTAGTACACGGAGAGCTAATGACTACAGAAACACCATCCATATGTATCTTTTCTAAGAATTCCAGTTAAAAAATTAAAATGTGCACCAGTTTTAATTTTATCTTTACCTTTTTGACAGAAGACCTTTATTTTTAATCCATAGACTGTCAGCAAATGCAGGGTTTGCTGCTTAATGTTCAACTGAGCCACCATTACAATAAAACAATAGGCAGAATCTTGAGATTACACTGTGTTAACAATCAAATGCTCAATGGGTTCATAGGAAATTCTTTCACCTCCTACCTTACCTGGGTATTAACCTACTTATTTGAAACAGGTTCATTTTTGATTGTCAATGAAATGAACAATATATTCAAATGGGAAAATAGCAGTATTAAAATGGCACTAAAAGAGTACATTAATATTGCACAGTGCAATTTCAAGGACTCTTGACAGCACTCCTGCTCATATTACCCGGCTATGGGACTGTAATCCTCCTTCACATAATCTAAGGCAGGTCTCTAGTGCAATGTTGAAGGAGCATTGAGCTGTGAATGAGGTGTTAAAGTGAGATTCCACCTGCTGTCCTGGTAGATCGGGGAGTATTAGCATTCAGATGTCATCAGTTGAAGAAGACTTGGAGAATTCTAATGGTGCCCTGTTCAACATTCTTAATTATCTGGCTGCTGTGGAGTTATTTCTATCATAAATTGACTGTTATATTTTGTCCACCAAATGACAATCCCTACAATTTAGGAAAAAAAATTAATTATCTATCTTACTCTGATATGTTTTTATGTGAATGCTGCTAAATAGATGCAAACTTTTTTTTATTGTACCGCTACAATAAAGCTACATAAATGTCCAGAAAAGCTCTATCTCTAATATTAGCCTTAAACTACAAAACCAGAAATATTCAATGCAATCATACTAAAGAGAACAAAATTTATCATTCAGAGATTGTAGGAACTGCAGATGCTGGAGAATCTGTGATAACAAGGTGTAGAGCTGGATGAACACAGCAGGCCAAGCAGCATCAGAGGAGCAGGAAAGCTGA